TGGAGACGCACCATCTGTAGCTCAGGGTCAACTTAAACTTCACTCCTCCCTCTCCCGCCAACTCAAATGTCTCCACTTTCCCTTCCTCGCCGATGCATCCGCTCACAATTTCCTTTCCGTATCGGAAGGGAACACACTGCTCCACTGCAAGTCCAAAGGGGCGATGAGAAAGGAAAACGACTGAAATACACACACGCACTTGCACAAACACACACACACACACACACACAAAAAAAACATGCATACATACTTATGTAAACATATACGTACTTATATATATGTACATATTTATATATACATATCTAAATATGTACATAAATATGTATATGTACATTAATATGCATATGTATATATACGTAAATATATAGGTATATCTGTATACACATACATAAATATGTGTATATATATGTATGTGTGCATGGATGTCAGCAAGGGTATAGGTATAGCTATGGGTATGGGTATGCGTATGCATGTGTAAGTGTGTGTCAAAGAGAAAATATGCATAACTTGGATTCTAATTCACTTACTTGGGCACTGTATAACTGATACGATATCCATATTCTTGTCTACTTCTGCGGCACACCATTTGCCTTTCACTGTCCAGCTGTCTGTCACTCCTCCTTCTCTCTCCACCTCAATTACCTCCCACTTCCCTTCCTCGCCGATGCATTCGCTCACGATTTCCCCTCCGTATCGGAAAGGAACACACAGTCCGGTCACAGCCTCACCGGTGGGTGTAGTGGCGGCGCCCATGGGTGGCACTTTAGGGGAGGAAACATCAGCTTTTGACAGATATCAAAATAACAATAAGATCAACAACCTAGCTAGAGTTGTTAACTTCAAAACTATATCATACAATCATTTATGGATTTTTCTATGAAAATAAAATGGAAACTCTGACATTCATAATAAAGATGTACATGTAAGCACACGTACAGTGGCATACATACACATACACACATGCATATGGTATACATATATATTTATGTGTGTGTGTGTGCAGCTGAGGGGGAGATGAATATATTCTTATATAACATGCATGACAATTGTTTTCTCTGACCCTGCCATTTTGGGAAGTTGGGTCATGTTCCAGAAATCACATAACTTTAATAACAATTATACCAAAGATAATAAGTCAAATGTCCGTCACTTACGAGAAATAATCGGACAGGATATAATCTTCTTGATATTCAGATTCTTGTCCACCTCGGAGGCGCACCATCTGCCGATCGCTGTCCAACTGTACATCTCTCCTCCTTCTCCCTCCGTCTCAATGATCTCTTCCTTCCCTTCCTCGCCTACGCAGCCTCTTACGATTTCATCTCTGTATCGGAAGGGAACGCACACGTTGCCTGCAAATCCAAGATGGGTGATGAGAAAGCACACACATACATACATACATACATACATACATATATATATATATATATATATATATATATATATATATATATATATATATATATATATATATATATATATATATATATATATATATATATATATATATATATATATATATATAATATATATGCATATTTAAACGTAAGCATACATATGTATTTATATAACTATATATATATATACATATATAAATGTGTGTGTATATTTTAGATATATATGTATGTATATTTATGTATCCATATATATGTATATGTATTTAATCGTATATATATATACATATATATGTATAAGCATATGTACATGCATATGTATCTATTTCCCTATCTGTATTTGTCTATATGTAAAAATGTGTGCATATATGTATATATATATATATATATATATATATATATATATATATATATATATATATATATATATATATATTGACATGAACATACATATACATGTGTATATATAGTTGTGTTTGTGTGTTCAAGTATGTGTACACCATATGGAAAAAAATGTGCATAACTTGGATTCTAATTCACTTACCAGGGACGGTTGTGCAGACTTTAACTGATACGATATTCAGATTCTTGTCTACTTCTGTGGCGCACCATTTGCCCTTCACTACTGTCCCTCTCATCTCTCCTCCTTCTCCCACTACCTCAATTATGGCCCACTTCCCTTCCTCGCCGACGCATCCGCTCACGATTTCCTCTCCGTAGCGGAAGGGAACGCACCCACTACTTTCTGAAGGTGGCTCTTCCGTTTCAGCTGCGGGTGGGAAAAGGATTTCATTTTATATTGCATAGCGAAAAAAATTAATGTGGTTTTGTATTCAATTAATTTTTTTTTTTCATCAAAATGACATGGGAATTATCTTCAAATTCAGAGATGTCGCAGGCGAAAGATCTAGAGACTACTATAATGTATACAAGGGTTTACGTAATGCTTTCCTACCTTCATACTCAAATGTGCTAGTGGTCTCTAGCGGTGGTTCTGTTACGGCTGAAAGGGTAAAATGCATTCTAATAAAAAAGGACAAACATATCTGAAACTGGCATTTTTCATCCCTTTAAATCAAACAGAAAAACATCGAGAAGGTCGGATATGATCATGAACACGAGCGGTATCATCAAAGTTTTGGAAAAATAATAACAAATAAATAAATAAGATAAAATAACGAAGAGCACTGTATGTTTCTTAATTCAAAATGCTATTATAAAGGTACATACACTTCTCTTATTTAACATTATATGAAACCCACACATATATAAATATAATTTCCTTGTTTCCCTTTTTTCCCCTCTACCTCCTGCCACAAATGAGGGAGAAAAGATGAATATTTGTTGATATAACATAAAACATACACTCATTTATAAAATTACATAATCAACACCTTTAATAACTATTATACTTTCACTTATAAAAATATATACAAAGCAATAATCTACACATTTAGCCAAATCTCCGTCACTTACAAGAAATTTCCGGACAGCTCATAGCCCTCAAGACATTCATATCCTCGTCCACCTCTGCGGCGCACCACTGGCCGCCCACGCAGCCCCTCATGAGCATCCCTTTGAGGCTGAAGGGAACGCACACGTCGCCTGCGAGTCCGGGGGGGCAAAGAGGACGGAAAGCCAGAAATGTACATACTCGTGTACACGCACACACATGGATATATGTATAAATAAATAAAGATACATAAACAATGCAAATACATAAACATATATACATATAATATATAATATATATAAATATAAACATATATATGTTTATATGCATATTTGTGTACGTATGTCTGCGTGTGTATGTGTTACTATGTGTGTTTATGTGTATGTTTAAATGTATGTTTGTGTGTGTGCATGTGCGTGCATGCATGTGCGAGCGTGCATGTGCGTGTGTGTATGACTTGCATTCCAATTAACTTACACAGTATAATGGTTACGGGATTCAGATTCTCGTCTACTTCTGAGGCGCACCATCTGCCTTTCACTGTCCACCAGGTTATCTCTCCTCCTTCTCCCTCCGTCTTAATTATCTCCTCCTTCCCTTCCTCGCCCACGCATCCGTTCACGATTTTGTCTCCGTATCGGAAGGGAATGCACAAGCTTTCTGGAGGTGGCGGTTCCGTTTCAGCTGAGGGTAGGAAAAGGATTGCATCTTTTAACAGATAACGAAAAACGAGAAACAAAAGTGTGGTTTTAGATTCAACTAGAAGCACTGAGAGAGCGCATACCTCCGTCAAAACTATAAGGTTTATGATGCAATAAAATATTCACACATAAAGGATTACAATAAAAACACATCTTTCTCAAGTACACTGCTGTCGGCCATAAGCATAACCTATTTGGCGGAGGTAATAAAGGTAATGAAAACAATAATACTTGGCAATTGGGGTAACTGATGAAAATAATTTTTTAAAATCCTGGAACCGGATCATGGTCAAGACATCTAAGTTGCTCTGGGCGAATGAACTAGAGATTACGGACACGTACATGGGCTTACGTAATGCTTTCCTACCTTCATACTCAGGCTTTTTCGGTACTGAGCGAGACTCAAATGGATTAATGGTAGTGGTCTCTGGCGGCGGCTCTTCAGTTACGTCTGAAAGGGAAAATGCTTTTTAACAGAAAGGATAAATATATCTGAAACTGGCAATTTTGATAATAGTAAATCAAATAGAAAAGTACAGATAAGGTCAGATATGACAAACTTTACAAACATTTCTACACACACAAATACTTGTTTTATGTAATATGTAAGTATATACACCTGGAAGAAAACAAGTATATTGACTGTATTGCAAATCACTTACAATGCAAGGTTGGGCAGGATATAATCGCAACGATACTCATATTCCCGTCTACCTTCGAAGCGCACCATCTGCCGTTCACTGTCCAGCTATATATCATTCCTCCTTCTCCCTCTACCTTGATTGTCTCCTCCTTCCCTTCCTCACCCAGGCATCCTCGCACGATTTCCCCTCCGTATCGGAAGGGAACGCAGCCGTGGACACCTGGAAATCGCCAAGTAGATAAAGGAATCGTGACAAAATGAATAAAAAAACTTCATAACTACATTTGGTACTTTTAGTATCCTGGAAGACTCATCAAGCTTGAAGAAAATTATGAAAATTCTCGCGCTTAGGTCATAAGTTAAGAAAAATAAGATTTTTGGATTGACAATGACTTTCACAACTTCATTCAGAATTATACACACTTTGCTTAATACATATGTATCATATTCTAATATGACATATATATATATATATATATATATATATATATATATATATATATATATATATATATATATATATATATATATAATGTACATATGCATATACATACATATTCACACACATGTATATATATATACTCATATACATTTATTTTTATATATAAAACTGTCCTCTCTGAATTATAATTAACTCACATGATACGACTGGGCACCCTATAATTGAGAGCACAGTCATATT